TATGTGAACCGAGAAGTTAACTACGGATCTGAGTTCCTCTGGTATATTCAATTAGAAGATGTTTCTGAATATACAGTCAAACAGCACGTAATGTTGTGAACACCTTCAATAGCAGTTGTGTAGCAGTGCTCCCATTTTATTTACAACAATCCAATGCCTACGAGATTGTGCCGAAGATGTGCCGATGGATATGCCCAAGCTGTTCCGAATCTAATTTTGGCACAATGTGCTGAGTGACTTACCCCTTGACTGTATTATTAACTTAGCATGTGGTCAAAGCATACAATTCCAGAAAAAAAAACTGAGAAAAGTCAGTCCAACACTTATAAAAGAATGTGCAGACAACCCATTCGGTTTTCAAAGATAATGTCAAAGGCGTTAATATTTAAACAATGATGTGAGTAGAAAAATCCATCCAGTATTTCCGGAGAACTTTGATATTTGGGCGTATTTTGTAATTTTTTTATTTCGCGCGAATAAAAGGACAATCCCGCGAACAAACTATACCAGATGATAGAGAAACCAGTCATCTACCTGTTTGTGTTGTTAGTTTTTGAGATTGAGATTTAATTCGCGAGAAATCGTCAAATGACGTGTTTGTTTACAAAATCATGATTAATCATGCGCTACAGTCTGAAACAACTGGTCTCGCTCACTCACTTATCAAACAGCGCTAAGGTAGATCACCTATCTTGCTCTTGCCCTTAGCCTGTTAGCTGGCGTAGCAATGTAGTAGTGCGGTTCAGTGTTTCACTGTACTCGCTTTTTCCTGTAGCGCTTCGGTTTACAACCGGACTCGCTTGTGCTCTGCAGCTCCTTAGCTGGACTTGCTTCATCATAGTTAATTTATGTTTCCACAGGTGTATCTGTAAACACAATTCATTAAATTACCTCTACGTACCGTATCCAAGGAAAATTATCCTCGAATATCTCCTGTCACCGATCTTTTTAAAAAATGGTACCGGCTGCGCCAAATTGTAGAATCGCCCGATGCCTCTTGGTTCGTTATGCTTCAACCAGCTGCTGCCGTCCACCTCCAGTGATATTCGTATCGCAACTAACTTGATACCGCTTGTGATCATCCTCTCGTGCCTATTGTTCTCCAATACTACCAGACGTATACAGGGATGTATTCTAGTCCAACCATACAGAGGCGTATAACGCATAATATTACTGAACTCTACAGATAGGTTCTAGTAGATACTAGATGTGTTCCGAAAAGAAAATCTGTCTGTTGATTAAACTTCTCTGAAATTCTCGGAATTTACTCCAATCCCTATTAGGTTCCTACAAATTTCGTAAACTGCCCTAAAATTAATGGAATTGTAATAACGATCCCAATAAGTTCTTTGAACTTTTGCGAAGTTTCCAAAAAACTGCAAGGGACAGCCCTAAGGGGTTGTACGCAATGGTGACGTAGGACTACGTGGTCTTATTTAATAAATGTTATTTGTTAACTGCAGCAGGAGCTAGTTTCCATTTTTCGAAAGCTGAAAATCATGTCCCACCCATTTAGGGTATTTTATCATACACTTCATCTGCTACAACCGGTAGAATATCAGTGTCCACCCGGCTAAAGCTACTTCCCTTTTTAGTTTTTCTCGTTAAACTCCTTCTCTCAACAAGTTGGTAAATCTTAGCCTTTAGCAGAAAGACGCTTAACACTTTTTTCAGCGAATTTATGATTCTGTTCCACGTCATGGTTCTTCTCTATGCCTGTTCAGATAAATTAGTACTATTATTTATTTTCTCTACTGCCCTAAATCAAACGAGTAGAAATAAGAAGGGATGTCGGTTACGCGCTCGATTAATTGGACTTTTAGACATCCCTAGAAAATAGTGTAATTTCATATTTTTTGGTGGTCCTTCGAAAATTTCGAACAACAGAATTGCAACCAGCAAGTATAACCCAAGAGCCAAAAGCGGTGTGATGCTAGTTTTCATTGCTATGACGACGACTGAATTAAGGGGCTTAGAAGCAGAGGGGTGAAAGTCAATTCTCTTTATCGATTTCCTCTTTTGATGACCACTAACCTATTTCGCACAATTTCTGCTATGCTGATTCTCTGATGACTGTGTTGGGGAAGCAGCATATCCATGTACAAAATTGGTGGATTTGTTAGTTATTTCGACGTTTTTGAACAATGCTTGACTTTTACCACTTTAGTTTCTGATCGGATGCTGATAAAATTATTGAATTTGGTCCAGGGCCAGCTGAGCTATGAACGTTCAAAATCTTTCATAATTTCGTTACATGTTCCATTTTCGGTTTTCACAAAGTGTACTGGTCCTTCGAACCGGATTAGCGAACATTTAGCCGCGAACCACGTATTCTGTGACCGCTAGTGCCCTTGAATTGGCCCCGTCGCCGCCCTACAGGCCCCGAGTGCTTCTGCCGATCGGTACCTCAGTGGAGCAGAAAACAAAAGGTGTGAGCAGTGTTTAAAGAAAGTGACTGTTTGGACAATAAGTGCGCGAAATCCACAAAGATGGATGAACTCGTTCGCGAACGAAAATCACTCGAACCGTGATTAAAACGCATTTCGGATACAGTGGACAAAATAAGGCTAGAAGCGGTTGAAGAAGTCGATATTCAAATCGAGCTGGACGTTTTGAGTAAGGTGTGGGCAGCCTTTTGTGCAGTGTATAAGAAGATTTTGGATGTGAGTGAGGACGGCAAAGCCTATGATGATGCGGTGCAACGTCAGGGGAAATTTGAAGCGTGCTACATCGCACTGAAGAACCTCCCACAACCCACCATGATGTGGAGAGCGAGCGGTTATGAAGAGCCATTGCACCCGTCATTCGATATTGACTTCGCTCATTCTTCTCCACGAACACCAAGAACATCTACACTGTGGATCTCAGTTGTTACTTGCAGCTTCAAGGACAAGGATCTGGATACTACGAGGTAGCAGCGCTACCCGCAAAGTATGCCGTGATTGTATAACGTGCTATCGAGCTCGACCAGCACGTGTAACACAGCAAATGGGACAGCTACCAGGAGACCGTTTGAAGCCACTTCCATCATTTTCCATCATGGGCGTCGTCTACGCCGGTCCAGTGAACATCGTCGGGCGAAGAATTCGTGGAGCAGTACCGTCAAAAGGTTACATCGCCCTGTTCGTTTGCCTTGGAGCGAGAGCTGTGCATCTGGAAGCAGTCTTCATTTCTCGCCGCCTTCACACGGTTCACCAGTCGGTACGGCGTACCCTACATGATGTACTCCGACAACGCTACGAATCTACGAAGAGCAGCGAGAACACTACGGGAACTCTACCAGCAGATACATGCCACCGAACACAGCGACGAGGTCAACGACTTCCTGACCAACAGACGGGTGCAATAGCTCTTCATACCCGCTCGCTCTCCACACCATGGTGGGTTGTGGGAGGCTGGTATCAAAGTTGCGAAGAGATTTCTTAGTAAAATTGGAGGTAATTATAACTACACTTTTGAAGAATTAAGCACTCTTCTCGCTCGGGTAGCTGCTTGTATGAACTCGCGGTTCTCTACCGATCTACAACCCCTTACGCCCGCACACTTCTTAATCGGGCGATCTCTTGACGCTCTCCCGGAGGTCAACCATTTGGAACAACAGATAGGATCACTGTCAATGTGGACCGAGCTCGGTTGAAGCCCAAGTACGTGCTATCGCTTCAACGGCTAGCAAAATGGCAAGCATCATCCCCTAATGTCGCAGAAGGTGATTTTGTACTCCTTGTCGATGACAACGAAAAATCGCAGCAGTGGCCCCTTTTCCCGGGGAACGATGGACTCGTCAGGGTTGTCTCGGTCAAGACAGCCAAGGGTGTTTTTCGGAGAGACGTCAGGAAGCTTCGACGATTCCCAATCGACAGCGACGAGTACGTTCCAGGAAGACATGGGTCGGAAATTCCTACTCGTAATTTGGTGGGCGGATTATGCTGGGGCGAGAATAAGAAGCGCTACCCTACTCGTTGCAACCGAGGGCGCACACGGACGGCATCAACCAAATAACACCTAATTGGCACTACAGTAATATTTGTGTATCTCTCCTTTACTGTATTCTAAAGGGAATGTTATGGGCCTTCTACGTTTTATTCGAATGGGTATATAAACCCCACACTGATTAGAAAATAAATATCAAGTATTGAATTGTTAGAAGTAGCCTACGTTGTTTTAATTTATCCCGTATCCCGAAAGTTTGCCGATAGTTTGTCCGCCTCGCCGTGTGATTTTACGCGCTGTTTTTTGGACCTCACGCTAACATGTACCCCCATATAGAAATCACAGACGTAGTCCTACGTCAAAATTTCTAAGTTCTTTAAAATTCCCTGGAAGCCTAATCACTGAAATTTAGGAAACTTTCTGAATGTTTCCATTGTTTTCCTAACACTAGTGGAACTGTCCTTAACTTTGCCAACAAAACCGTTCCCATTCTTTTACCACTCCCTGTATTATGATCCAACGTTCCTGCGAGTTTTTCCCGTGTGTTTTCCGCCTCCTTTGCTGCCTCCTGTTGGGTCACAATGTCTGGCGTGTGAAAATGTTCACATGATGACCGTCGTCGTTGCCGTCAACGGTCGGAGAGGGAGCGAGAGAGAGAACGAGAAAGAGAAAAAGAGAGAGCAAGCGAATGAAAATGAGATCGTGCCGAGAAAAAGAAGAGAGCACCGTCCCATGCCTACCATATGCGACTGCAAATATATGATCACAAACGATCGCAGTCGGGGCAGTTGGATCGCATTCTCTCGCAGTGCTACTTAGTTAGTTCTACTCGCTTGCGGCGGTGCTCACCATAGGAGGATTCTAACCATTCAGGAAAAAAGGAAAACGTGTGTGTGTCTTTCGGTGCAAAAGGATTTTCTTCCTTCTCCGGACCGGTGCGTTGTGCGTTCACTAGTAATTCTCCAATTTGATTGGATGTTTTTGCAAAGAAATGATCTTACCTCTCTCAGACCGTAGTTTTGTCCGGAATGATACTAACGAAAAATTTCCCCTTTTTGTTCTCATTTCAGGGTACTACAGTGCTCCATGAACCGTTCCGAAAGGAAGTGATCGGTCAGACGTTTATCCCGCAAACCTTGCTCACGGATTACCTTCGTGACTTGGCGGAAAGTACCTTCAGGTAAGTGCGTAGGTGCGACGACCTAGTTCGATACATTTTCTTCCCATTTTGGTCCTCGCAGTTGATTGATGACCATTTAACCTAATTTGGGTCCCACCTACTCAACACAAGACGTTACCTACGTGAATGTGCGTGTGTGTGTGTGTACTTAAAGTGTGAATGTGTGAGGGTGTCGAGGAAAATCTGCCGGGTGTTTAAAAATAACCCATCGAGTGGCGGAAAATGGAGGAGTCCCGTCATACATTGTGTCGTGTTGGTATTCGAATCAGTGGTGCGTCGGGTGAGTTCACCACTCCGTGTATTGGTGAGTGAGTGGCGCAGCACAAGCGAGGAAAACTTGTGGTTTTGTGCGATTCTTTTCCACCGTCTTCGACGGTTGTTTTTCACAAAATTAGGCAAGGTTTTTTGGCCTGAAGCAGCACTAAAAATAAAATCGAAGAGGTTTTAGGCCTAACGTAGCTGCAAGCTGGTACTGCGATTGTGTGATTGTGCGAAGGCGTTAATACCATCGTCATCATCGGGATGGGATGCATTTTCTCTACGCTAGATTGCAATTCAGTTTCGAGCGGATGCAATTGTTGATGGCAGTTGGACACGGATGGGATCGCATATGTTTGTGCAGACATTTTGTGGACGTGTTTATATTTACGTGGCAATTTAAAGTTACAGCTCAAACTGACCATTTCTTTCCATTCTCGCTATCATCCACAGGGGCAGCAATTACAGCCTTCTGAGTCACAACTGCAACACCTTCAGTGAAGACCTGTGCCAGTTTCTGTGCGGCATCGGCATACCAAAGTACATCCTAGACCTACCGACGGAATTTCTATCCACTCCGTTGGGTCAAACTCTAGCCCCGTTGATTGCCAGTCTCGATTCGGGTGGTGATCCGACGGCCAACTTCCAACACGAGTCGGATTTCCTTAGGTCGGGGCGCGAAAGCAGTCCAGGATTCGATCAGCTGAACAACCAAATCGAACAGGCCCGGCAGCAGTCGCTGGAGTTGAACGAACGGCGGAACAAGATCCGTGACAAGATCGACAAGAAGAGCAAAAAGAAGGAGAAGAAGTCCAAAAAGGATCGCAGCTCGGGTGACAGTGATCAGAACTCTACCGGGATGTCTGAGGGTGAAGCGGAATCGATGAACGGCGTCAACGGTGTCAATGGATCCATTCCACCGGAGATGCTGCCTTCGGAGAAGGTCCTGAAGGAAGAGGAAGCCGAACGGTTGGCGGAGGAGGAGCGGAAGAAGAACCGTGAGCCACCAATTATCTTCAAAGAAGTAGATGTAAGGGCTTGGCAGTTCGCCACTGACTATCCGGAGTCATAATAATTTCCTTGTTCTTTCAGCCAAAAGTTGAATTGGAATGTTTGGTCAATCTGGTCGATGGAAAGCTCTCTGAAGAGGAGCAAGTGGCAGTAGACGAGCTTCATCAGTATCTCCTGCTGGGAGAAGGCGCGTGGGCGTTGGGTGATGGCTTCCTGGTATTCGTCGGACGCATGTTCCGTGATAGTTCGCTGTCGACCGAAGTTCGAGTCCACTTGCTTCGTGCCATGGCCAACGCTGCCCTGAAGGACGACATCATTCTACTGCTGCACCAGGACAGACGGGAACACGTGCTGATGAACTTTGCCCAGGACATTGACAAACACACTCCAGAGGAGCAACAGGCGATGGCTCTTTTTGTAAGTTTTGATTGGTTCTCGAAACAGATCACGGCACTCTTTTCCTAACACCCCTCCTCTTAACAAATTCCAGATGTGCAATCTTTTTGAAAACGACAACGCTTCCGAATGGCTGCTGTACATCTCCGAGTGGCAGTACAATAACCAATCGATATCGAACATCCGCGCCACTACCAAGGTCGCCGTACACTGTCTGCTGTCGGCCTGTCCCCGACTGAAGGACATCGGCACCGCGCTGGTCCACAATCTAGCATGTAAGGAAGTCAAAACTGTGGTCTTCGACGACGTGGCGGTGGAGATCTCGATGGCACTGTTGCAGTTCTTCAACTCGGAACCATCGGAGGAGCACCTCTTCCGGACGATGAAAGCCCTGGCCAAGTTTGTCAATGTAAGTCACTCGATCGCAAGCCATCTCTGTCCGACAATCAATTATCCCCTTTTCTCCCGAACAGGTCTCACCAGATGTCCCGCAGTTTATCCAGATGATTGGACCACACCCGAAGACCCTGCGGGGCAAAAGCGATCGAATCAACGAACTGATTGATCAAATTTCCAAAAAAGTCCGTTAACTCCCGTCACGTTTCGTTATGTAGTTAGTTGAAAATTTAATTGTAGAGTCACATACAAAACACACACAAACATACACACCTAAATATAGACATAGTACGGAAATTTGAGACAAGAACTATTACCCTATCGTTTCGTCCATCTTCCTAAGGAACTGTGGAGCATTATTGCATTTTCGCCATTTGCTAGAATATAGCATACGAACCAAAACCTTCTAAATCAAGTCGGAAAACACACACACACAGCCTTTCCGTTATCACCTAGTGCAATAACTATAACCATTTCTATTTCTCTTTTAAGAAAGTTACGAATATTGTAGGAAAGCAGTGTTGTTTTCTATGCGACAAGTGGATGTTTTTGGTTGAAACTCGTACTAATACGCATAATACAACATTACAATAAATTATATTTTTATGAAAGTGAATCGAATCGGGGTGTGGTTTTTTGTTTTCGAACTGTCCGTAGTGTGATTATCCCCCGATCGCAATTTCAGTTTCTAACTTTTATTTACACTCAAAACAAGATTGTAAAAGGAAAAATGTAAAAATTTGGGCTTATGTCATGATGACATTTATTTAACAAGCAATATAACAATAACCTCACACGTGGTGAACATCCATTTGGGACAAAATCGATCTTGCTGGCAGCATACCACTCCAGAAGGAGATTGGAGATGACTTTGCCCCTATGCTTGCGGATGAACGGCAATACACGCTTTTTCAGGCATTCTTCGATGTAAATTTGGGATGTCATCGTCGAGGATGTGACGAATGGTTCCGTTTTCAGGCCACAATTGCAAATCGCTTGCCAAACCATGGCCTTCTTCACGAACTTGTCAATGTTTCGTCATCGATCAAAGTGCAGCCCTTGTGTTTCGTCAAAACACGGTCGTTCAAGAGCCTTGCACGCTTTTTGGCCAAGGAATTCTGCTTCATGTGCCGGTTCGGATGATTACCCGCTTTGTACGACTTGTGTCCTTCCCTGGCAAGGATGTTCCGCACCGTTTGAAAGTTGGCGTTGTACCTTCTGGCCACATCTCGGATCGAAAGACCGGGGATGGCTTTAACGCACCTCAACACCTTGCTGACTGACGATCCCTGGTTCCAATTTTTCCGTAGCTCCGCTGATTCCTTTCCACACTCAGGGTTTCCTTGTAGGTTTTGAGCACTCAAAAAACTGTTGTTTTCGGCATCTTCAGCACTTTAGCCAGCTTAGAACCGTACCACTCCGGATTTTCCAGGTGTTTGTGCACAATATTTTTTTTTTCGAATTCCATTTGACGTTATTTCTGAACGCGATCGACTACTTTGATCAAATTTGCACCAGTTGTTCTCTATAGAAGTGTAAACAAACCACTGTCAAAGATTTTCGATTCTCCACACTAAAGGCGTGCTAGCGGCGTGCGAGGAGCGTACCAATTTACTTTTAGTCAACACAGTTTTTACGTTTGAATTGAAAATTCGAATTTTGACTTTGAATGACGAATTTCGACGTTAACTTATCTAGATAGATCTCCATACATTTCGTAAACTCGCAAAAGTAGCCCAAGCATTCTTGATTCGTGCACCTATGTCGCTTTTGGTCCCGCCGTCTGACGCTATCTGGCTGCCAAGATATTGGAAACTTTCGACTTTCTCCACTGCTTGCTCTGGTACCACAGACAAACAGACATAACACTAGCAAGTTGTTCATCGAACAAGCATTTAACGGTCAATTTAAAAGTATCGTAGTTGGTAGTACCACAACCTGTGGCGCGCATAGTCAATTCCCTTGCGTTTGACGTTTACACACTACCGCCATCTGTTCAGCGTACTACCCACCACAGTGTACTCAACAGATGGCGGTAATGTTTTAGCGACGATGTTTTACAGTGAGAAATATTCAATGTGTTATGTCTGTTTGTCTGTGCTGGTACCATAAAGTTGGAAGGGTTGTCCGTGTTGAAATCCAACGATTTGGTCTTGTTGACGTTGATGGTGAGACCCGCCGCAAGGAGCGTTCGGCTAGGTCGTTGAGCTTATTCTGCATATCAGAGCACCGATGTGCTAAACTGCTAATAGCGTTATATCATAAGCCAAATCGAAGTCGTTGAGGTGCTCCCTAGTAAAGGCTGCCAAAGCACACACGGTCAATTGCACCTACCATGATCTCGTCGATTACGATGAGGAACAGTAGCGGTGATAGTATACATCCTTGTCTCACATCTGCGACTACCCGGGTAGGATCGGACAAGGCTCCGTTATGTAGGACTCTACATGTGAAAGCCTCGTACTGCGCTTCAATGAGATTCGATGATTGCGTCTCAGGATGTCCAACAGATTTTCGTGATTGAGTCGATCGAAAGCTTTTTCGTAGTAAATAAATACCAAATAGAGGAACTCTTTACATTCGTTGAGCAGATCCAGTGTGATGCGGAGCGTTACAATATGTTCCACACAAGATCTTCCGGCACGGAATTTTGCCTGCTGCCGCCGGAGAATCGCATCAATCTTCTCCTGTATCCGATTCAGGATAACTTCGCGCAGAACTTTGAGAACAACACACAGTAAGACCCCTATGGTAAGACCCCCCTTCTTAGGAACCTTCACTAAGACGTCCTGCATCCAGTCGGGTGGAAAAGTCACGGTGTCCCAGAATAATAGATGCAACATTTGTGCGGATAGCATTGGGTCAGCATTGAGCATCTCTGCTGATATGCGATTGACCCCGGGAGCCTTGTTGGATTTCATACTTCGGATACCTGCTTCGAACTCTTGCAGTGATGGGCCCTCGAAAGTTGACGCGAGTGATACCATAGAGGTAACTCTAAGACAAGAAGGTCCCGAAGAAACGTGCTCAACTTTTTGGCTCAGCTCTGGTACTCTCTTCGGTCCCAAGCTAATCGATGCACCCCTGGAAACATAGGAAAATCCACGAACCCCTCATTTTATCTGTCAAACTTTCATGGCGAATCAAAACAAACATTGCGTAGTACTAGAATTTCGACTAGAATGGGGAACGTTAATCGTTTGCTTGGGACCAATAGGCTAGTCAAGTAGTGAGCCAATTTAAAATCGTTAGTTTCGTATTGATTGTTGATTGTACCGCGGAAATCTTAAAAATATATTCACTTTACCGATTACATACAGTTGTTTGCCTAAACTCATCTAAATCAGTTTGAAATTATGATGTCGAAATCATATGAGAATTATTCTCATGATACCCCGTTCACATTACAGCGTATATCACATGATATACGCTGTCTTGCAATGAGCACTCATACATCTAGTTTTTACTGGAAATCCTGTGTATGAGTGCTCATTGCAAGACAGCCTATATTACGTGATATAGGCTGTAATGTGAACGGGGTATGAGTGGTTGATCATTGGGAAATGACAAGAAAGTGAAATGACAAAACAACGGCTTCCGATTTAAAAAAAAAAAGTGTCAAATACGTATCAATTTGGATATTTTCGGAACAAGGAAAACGCGTAGATGCTGAAAATTGATATCCCACGCCATTTTGGAATCCAAACATTTGGCGGCCATCGGGTTTCAAAAAATATGTCAAATACTAGGTGAGGTGAAAAGTAACCTCCTTGGGAATGGTTTTTTATGTTTTTATTTTATTTTATTCAATACAGTCCCCTTTTAGCTCGATACACTTATTCCAGCGATTTTCCAACTTCATGATCCCGTCCGAAAAGTAATTTCCCGGAAGGTCTGCAAAATACTCCTCCCCGGCGTCGATGATTTCCTCACGTGAGCTGATTTTTTTGATGAGCCATCTTTTGCGGTTTGGGAAGAGATTATAGTCTGAGGGAGCCAAATCGGGCGTATCCGATGGATGCGGAAGCAATTGAAGCCGTAAGTCATTGATTTTAGCCATGGTTGCGATGCTCTTGTGCGCCGGCGCATTGTCTTGCAAAAACAATTTTTTTTCGCTTCATGTGAGGCCGTTTTGCAGCGATTTCGGCCTTCAATCGCTCCAATAATGCACACTGTGCACAGTAATACTCGCTTTTGATGGTTTTTCCTTTTTCGATGTAGTCCACGAAGAGTATGCCATGACAATCCCAGAAAACCGACGCCATAACCTTTCCGACCCATCGAGCCTCCCTCGGCTTCTTCGGAGCACTTGTGCCGACTTCAGTCCATTGCCGGGCACTCATTCTGTTCTCTAGGGTGTAATAGTGGATCCAGGTTTCATCAACAGTTACCGATTCCGCATCAGCAAGTCCAAACACTCTTTCGAAGTGCTCTAGCGTTCGTGTTTTTGGTCAGGAGTGAGCTTGCGCGGCACCCAGCGGCAGGATAACTTTTTCATATGCAGAATCTCGTCCAAAATATGGCGTGTGCGCTCAGTACTAATCTTTGTGGTATCTGCTAGCTCGCGTACCTTCACTTTCCGGTCAGCCAACACCATTTCATGTATTTTTTTGACATTGTCCTTTGTAATCGCATCGGAGGGCCTGCCGCTGCGGATTTGATCGGTAGTGGAGTTGCGGCCACCACGAAACTCTCGAAACCAATATTTGACGGTGTAATCTGAACGGAGCATTAGCTCCATAATATTTATCCATTTTTCTTTTGTTTCCTTCGCTGTTTGCCTCTCCAAAAATAATGTTTTATGAGAGAACAAAAATCGTTTTTATCCATACTCAACATGATGCCAAACACGTCAACAACAATCAGCTGCCAAAACAAAACTAAAGACAGTATCGCACTGAGCCACTAAGGCACCATAACCTTTTTTGCAGTAGCAGCGCATTCTGGCGGTCAAGGAGGTTACTTTTCACCTACACTGTACCAAACCACAGTCCTCTGTTCGAATGAAACCTCAGACCATTCAAATCGACACATCGAAATCGCCTTTTCGAATGATAGCTGAAGCCTGATGACGGTTGTTTTGAAATCAGATGATTTTCCTCTCGAATAGGGAGCTGCACCGTCGGGTTAACCTCACTTTTTTTTACATCTGGCAGTGGTTTTTTTACATGGACTTAGAAAAAATAAATAAAAAATTTATTAAATGTTTTTTTTTAGATTTTTTTGGAGAGGAATATTTTTCAAACGAACACACAGTCGGATATCATATATTTTAATTATTTTTATTTCAAACCTCTAATCCACTTGCATCGACTAACAAGTAAAGGTAAACAAGCCACCACTGGATGTCAAACTGATGAATGCGGGTTCATCGCGTTCATTCGTGCCGTCAGTGTGCAGCATCCTATACAGGATGAACATTGTTATGAAAAGGAACAGGGCCTTCAGTTGGAATGCGTAATGCTCTCTGCAGAATGGTAGTCATCTTAAATTGAAATTAATTTGATATTGGCTCAGCCCCTTAACACAAATCATTCAAAACGATGATGTAAGTAATTCT